TTTTAAATATGTAAATGCTACTAAGCACATAAACTAATTCAATGGATATTAGCTGCCCATACAACAAATTTCACCATATAAACATTCTAAACAATATTGGGATTATTTTGGTTTTGGTCATCTGGGGAACCTTAAGATTTTAACTATGGGATTAAGTACTTTAAAAAATAAGACACATTATCTCAACAGGATTTCTGTCGCAAAACATTTTTCGATCGCATAAGAAAATACAGGTCGTATGTTAGGTTAGTTTAGGGTATGATGAGTTATAAGTTATAAGGTTAACTTAACATACACCGGTAAGGGGGGGAGGGGGGGGGGTAGTAACTCAAAACTAGTGATTTCCAAAAGAAATTAAACTTTAAATCATTCTTAACGCATCGCAAACCACCAGAAAAAAAACATCGTCTGTATGTCTAAGTACAGGGATGACCAAAACTTAAAATTTACCCAATGTAGCCTATCTCGAATCTAAACATCAAAATACTTAGGGGAGTTAAAGTAAAATTTTACCCATTAATTAATATAAATGATGACATATCCCAGTGGTTCATTAATGAATCATCAAAACAATAACAGCATTATGTTGTCGTGTTTATCTAGCATCAGGCATTCTCAAAACAAATTCCAAACAATGTCATCACTTCTAAATGTACTCGTATCTCCATCTAGTACTGATATACTCTGCAAATGCACTGACAAAAAAAGAAAAGGTCTCCCAGGTAAGAGTACATGACAGCAGAGCTGGTGTGAACATGGGAGTTTTTTATGTCCAAAAGAACATAAGAATGGAGGAATCTGCATCGGGCCTATTGGCCCATACTGGGCAGTCCTCATTTACACCCAACCCCTATCGCTCATATATCCATCCAACCTATGTTTAAAGCTGCTCTTCACGGCACATTTCTTCACTCACGAAATGTCCATTACTTAAGCCATAATAAAACACCCTGAAAACTTACCTGAACATGACATTTGGGGTCTGAAGAGGCCATCCTTTGTACTACCTACGACTGCAGCTGTGAGTTTGAAACTAGTGACATCAATGCAAATGGCGGTCCTGTTTCCAGAGAAATAAACTTATCTCGACTATTATTGCAGGACTTTAAACTTTTATTACAAATTATATATACCGTATCACTCTACGAACGTGGCAGAGTGTATTTCTTGTGTTTACCCAGAACCGTCAACTCGTCCTCTACTGAGAAATGTGGAATTTTTTAACATGCTCAAAAGAGACCTCAAAATAAATTTTTGGTAAAGCATTCTTTTGATACAATGCTGAACTCACTGAATGTGCTTTACATTACAAGGAAGGTAGTATAGTTGGTCAGCAGTGGAAACATCCAAAAATTTGGAAAGTGGTCTGGATTAGTGACCAGAAATCAGCCCGGGAAAGAAATTAAAGCAGTCCATTTCCTGCCCATGAGAACTTTGCATTTAATACTAAATATACAGAATCTCTGTCTACAGTGTAATTTGTTGTTTTTGTGCAACAGTAACACCTTACTGTATATTGTATTATAAATTAGCAGTTTCACTCGGAAATTTTAAGCAGAGATAGATAGATAGGAAGACAGATAAATTATATAAGTACTGTAAATGAATACCAACTGCATAACCCAACCAGTGGTATCATGGCATCATCTTAGTTACTTAAAAAATAACCATTATATTTTAACACAGTATTCATGGTAAGATATACATAAGATAAATTACTTTGGATACTTAAATGTGATACTGTACTATACAAAAATCAATGCTGCTTAAAACAAGGTAGAGGTTTTGACAAGTCATTAATCATTATAGCAACATCTCAAAGGATCAACATAGCCTAAAAAAATAGGGGCTTGGCAATTCATTACTTCCTCAAGCTATTACCTCAAGAATCATATGTGTAACACATATACAGTAGTACAATAATTATATATACATATAACAGAAACAGGCAACCATGACATGGGATTATTTTGGGGGAACCACCCAAAAATAAATATTATTTGACAAAGTAATCATCAAAGTTTATAAGGGGAGCAATGAGTGTATATAGTCATCTGAATAGGCAATTCCCCACTCTCTGAAGTTACCAAATTGATAGCATTTACTGAGTCAACTTTCTGTAGAACATCTTTCTTTACACACATCAGCATGAATGCCCCCAGGTGGTCTTGTGTCAAGAAACTGCAAAGTTTTGTTTTGATGTGTTTCGGTTTAGAAAGTGAACTCTCACATGCAAATTGTGTCACTGATATTGTTAGAAGCTTATAAAGTACAAATAAGGTGGTATAAGATCTGCTGTACATTTTATACTGTACAGGTAGTTCTGCTATAACGCAATAATTATGTTCTTGTAAAATATCGTGTTATAGAAAATCGCGTAATAGAAATAACAGGGCTTATGGAGAAAATAGGGTTAGGTGCAAATTACTCGAAATCGAAAAAATTTAGTAGTTAGCCTAACACAAAGGATAGCACAGTCTAAATAAATGTTACATTCATATCTAATAATGAAATCATACAGTAAATGTAACACTTTACTTGATGGGGGAGAAGGGTGATTTTGAGGTTGATAAAATCGAGCTTCTCTTCAAGTGTTATATCCTTTCTTTTACGATCATCACCGGGAATTCTATCACCAGAACGCTTCTTGTTGATATTCTTCTTTACTATATTCACAGTTAATACAGTGGGGTATGCTATAACGAACGGATCCTACTACGAATATTCCTATAACGAACGGTTTTACCTATAAAATTGAGAATGCTATAACGAACGAAACTCCTACAACGAACATACTGTAATTTAATTTTTTTTTTTTTTCTAATTTATTGTTTTATTATTACAAATATTAATGATATTCTTTATTTCAAGGGTTTAGATGCATATTTATGCACTTTTTTACAATTTTTACAATTTTATATTATATTTTTCAGTGTTAAGTGGTTGTATTTGGGGGCCTGGATCGGATTAATCCTATAACAAACGAATGCTATAACGAACAAGGTTCTAGAACCAATTAGATTTGTTATAGCATACCCCACTACCACAAAATTGGAGAAATAGTAAGCAAAATCGCGTTATAGCAAACAAGCGTTCGCGTTATACAAATATCGTTCCTAATTCATAAATCGTGTTAGAGCAAATTCGCGTTATCAAAACACGCGTTATAGCAGAACTCACTGTATTAGGAACAATCTACCAGAAAGTGTTGTGACAGCACCGAGTGTGAGCTCTTTCAAGACCAGACTTGACCAACACTGGAGCAGGTTCAGGTACATTCAGGAGCGGTGCATGCCCAGTACATGCCAACAGTGCGTAACAGAGACGTGACCGATCACCCGGGTGGCTAGCGAGCCGATCTTTTGGTGAAAAAGATAAATGAAAAGGAAAAGTAATCAGAGACGTGACTGATTGCCCAAGCGGCTAACGAGCCGATCAGTGGCGAAGAGGATAAAAGTTAAAAAAAAGTATGATTATATTTCAGTACAAAATAAGAGTTAAGGAAATATATAGGGTATTAAAATAAAAACACTTTATCATCAATAACAGGTAAACAAGGGTTGGGTTTGTGTTACTTGAAAATTGTTCACCTGACCACCTTGAAATATATAGAGATGTTTTACTTAAAAGTAAATGCTATTCAGTTTCATCAATATCCAATTTAATGTAAAACAACCTAATGAACAAAAAGTCACATGCAGTGTGGTGAGTTGGAGATGTGTAGCTGTGAGACCAGTTGGTGTAGCTGTGAGACCAGTTGGTGTAGCTGTGGGACCAGTTGGTGTAGCTGTGAGACCAGTTGGTGTAGCTGTGGGACCAGTTGGTGTAGCTGTGAGACCAGATGGTGTAGCTGTGAGACCAGTTGGTGTAGCTGTGAGACCAGTTGGTGTAGCTGTGAGACCAGTTGGTGTAGCTGTGAGACCAGATGGTGTAGCTGTGAGACCAGATGGTGTAGCTGTGAGACCAGTTGGAGGAGATGTATAGCTGTGAGACTGGTAGTTAATCTGTGTGGTGATGATGATCTCATCTTTAGTGAGATGTATAGTGTACATCTCCCTTTAATTAGTTACTGGATGATGCTGTTGTATTTTTTGATGAAATGAAAGTGTGTGTTGAATTCCATCTACTGTACTGGGTGTTTGTTGAAGGTGAGCTGCATCTGTCACTGTAAGAGGCAGTTGACATCTCTTGTTGGTTAGTTACCATCTGATCTACTGTACTTTATACTGTACCGTGCTATATCAAACACACCAAACCATAGAAGTTTACAGAAAATTGGCAATTTTGGTCAGAAGAAGTCAACTTTCTATAAATTAAGTTAGCGGTTAGGCAATAAACACAGTACTGTACTGTACTCACTTGCAACATAGCACAGTGACTTAACAGAAGAGTAAACAAGCAGTTCTGTACCTGCTTAAGTGCGTTCAAGTGAATCTACCTCCTGATGTGAGTCAAAGGTTTACGAGGTTATCTTAGATGATGGAAATAAGGGTACAAATTAATGTTTAAAATATTTGCAATAGATCCCCAAATCATCTTGGTGTAAAAGATGTGAAGTGTTCAGCTAATATAGATATGTTTGGTACAGTATATTCACATGTCACATATACCCTGTACCATAAGTTGGGGGTAAATACTGAATATTTTGATAATACTGTATTTTGTTTTATATTTTTTACATTCTTAAGTATTTCCTGATTTTGTACAACACTGTAGATGTTATTAAGACTAAGTTCTTCATTCCAGGGTGTGTGTATGTGCTTTATATCCTTTATTATTAATGTTATTATGAATGATGTATAGTACTGTATATTGATTTCAATGCAAGAAAGAGATGCTGGTACAGTTCCATTGTTCTGCATTTGCTACACATTATACTGGGTTCTTTTCTTTGACAAATATAATCAACAATGCAGTACAGAGTCAAGGTACTTATCAGCACTGTGGACTGATCAGAACTATCCATTTCTGAATGTTTCCTCACTCTAATGTACTTTCAGGGAAGAAGCATGTAGTTGAAGAAATTTTTGTATGGTAAATGGCCTTCTGGTACTTGCAGTAAAGGATGCCATCTTCAAAGGTACAGTATCATAATTGACTGATGGCTGTTTTTGGTATATGGATAATAGGAATGGTCAGTACTGTAATTAGAATGTAGTTTCATTATCCGTGCTGTACAATTTTATAAGGAGAGAAGGGAGATCACCGCATGAACAACTTCTTGCCTTAATTAACTTGAGATTCAAGATAGCATATAGTTTCCCTTTAAGCAGTGAGTGGAGAACTGTATGAAGGCCTTGATATGACTAAACCTTTTCATTTAGGAGGATGCTGTTTTATAATGATATGAAGATAGTATGAACAGATGATAGGAATATTCTGCATGATACACAAAGATACAGTATACCTGTACTGCAAGAGAGATATGATTGGATTTTGCTTTTTTCCATCTTTTCCCAATTAATGTTTCTGGCTATTGCCCTTAAGCCAGACAATATTTGTACTAACTATAGGGCTACTTTCTAGGGGTTTTATATCATCACACAGCCTCTCATGATGTGAAAGTTGACTGGTAATCTATTTGGATATACCAACACCCTTCTTTCATGAAGGGCATTCACACACTTAGATGGTCCAACCCTCATAATACCTCTCAAAAGTGAGATGCTACCTCATTTGGAGTACTGTCACTCCATCTGGTCCCAAGGATATGCGAGAGACTCAGTTAATTGAAAATCTTGAGAGGAGGCCCAGCAGACAGGTGCCCTCTCTACAGCACCTCCGTTGCCTAGAGATGTTGGAATGCCTGCAGTTGCTTAGCTTGTACACTAGTCGGGCAAGGGGTAACTAAATTGAAGTCTATAAACACTTCTGAGGACTTCACTCAATCGAGTGTTCACACTCAGAGCTGGCAGATGCCCAGTTCACTAGAGGTCACAGCTTAAGGTTGAAGTCACAAGTTCAGAAAATTTTCAGGGCAAACCCTTTTGGAGTGAATTTTGTGAACTCGGAATAATCTGCCAGAAAGAGTTGTGATGGCACCGAATGTGAGCTCATTCAAGACCAGAATTGACCAACACTGAAGCAGGCACAGATTCATTCTGGAGCCAGTGCATGCCAACAGTGCATAATAGAGATGTGACTGACTGCCCTAGTAGCTAACAAGCTGACAAGTGGCACAGAGGATAAAGTAAAGTATCACACTGTACTGTACCCCAAAAGGAGACAATGTAACTGCTGTCTTCTACAGGCTAAGAGGTCTTTATTTGAGCTTGGACTATTCATCCAGCATTAAATAATTTTAAGGTACTGTATATTGTCTTATCTTGATTTCTAGTTTAACCATCATTTTGAATATATAGTTCTGAGCATATTGTCCAAGAAGGTGGTTGGAACAGACCAATTCCTCCTGTACTGCTTTTATTCTGTAGACACTAAGTTTTAACATTTCCCTTAGATTCTTCAGGGATCGGTTATCTAGAATTACCACAGTTCTGGGTGTTAATAATAGTGAGATGACTACCTACGGTATATTGGTTTGTACATATAATTTTTCATAGGGTATTTTGACATATCACCCCTCTGTGTTTGCGTGGGTGTGCTAGAAGTGGCTGACTTTAGCACTAGAGTCTGTTGATCTATTCTATTCTCTCAAACACCATACTTTGGTCCATACACTTTGCTGTATTTGCAGTTTGTAGATTTGTGTGGGTCAGGATAACCCACACAAGCATGGAATTGGCAGTAAATGACAACGATGATGATGAGGTTGAGACTCTTCAAGTGTTTTGTATTTGATGAGCCAGTATATGAACACAGGATAACCATGAGCCAGCAGTGCTTGGGCTTTTTTTTTTAGGTAAGGTTATGAGAGTTGCATGGTTTAGTGTTGTATCCAGAAATGGATTATTCATCTTAATGTATGTATGTTTATATATATATATATATATATATATATATATATATATATATATATATATATATATATATATATATATATAGGTATATATATATATATATACATATATGTATGTATGTATGTATGTATGTATGTATGTATGTATGTATGTATGTATGTATGTATGTATGTATGTATGTATGTATGTATGTATGTATGTATGTATGTATGTATATAATTTTTTTATTTAATTTTTTTTGGAGGAGTCTCTAGCAGGTGGTTCAGATACATACCCCCTTCTCCTATTGGGTTAGTGGCTTAGTTAGCTAAATTCAAGTAGCAATCAAAGTAGCCAACAGTATACTGAATTATGTGCTAACTTGGCAGAATCAGCTTTAATAAGACCTCGTAAGGGCAGCCATTGTCCCAGGTTTCACTCTTTTTTGGGTACAGCATCATGGAGGTACAAGGGTAATTAGTGTAGTACTGTTTATCCAAATGGCTTAAAAAATAGAATCCCCTAAAGATTAGACACCCCAGTTTATTTCACTGGAAGATTAACTACCCTCATGCTAATCTAACCTAACCTACCCATCCAAGTAGCATTAAAGTGCTTAATCCTCAGGTGAAATATACTGGAGTGTCTTAATCTTCAGGTGATCCAACAGATTTACTCTAGCTGACATTAACCCCTTGTGTATGGGGTCCTCTCCTTACTGAATAAAATAGTCTGATGTTAGTCAAATAAAATATTAAAATTGGCATCCCCATAGTGAAGGGGTTGTCTGATCACCAGAATCTCCAAGAAAGCATGTTTGTATTACAAGAGCTTCCTGGCTATGAGCTCTACCAGAAAAGGTGGTTTCAGAATTAACCCTCCATTGTTCAGTCTTCTACCATACTTATACTTGTGTAGTGCAGTGGTGTAATATATGTAATGTTATAAATGTATTTATTTCTGAAGGCAAACAAATAATGTTTCACATGCTTCATAGCAAAACTACTTTTTTTTAACATACAGTAATTCAAAGATTGAAATGTTGACTTTCTGATTCCTGAAATATTTCAAGACAATAAATAGTCTAGGAAAGATCTTATTTGGGAACCTCCGTGTATAATGCTAAGAATACTGTAGTTGATGTTTAAGTTTCTGATAAAGTGGGTTTCTTTTTTAATAAAGAATTGTTGTGCCATCTAGACTTATATATGGTTTATTGTGTACAGACTGTTATTTTAGAATGAATTGTGTTTTACTGGATACAGTATACAGTCGCAGAGGCAAATATAGATGCAAACTATTGTAGTTTGTGGAAGAATCCGGAAATTCTTAGATTAAACATTTCAAGGCTATTAAATTTTTATGAATGAATTAGTCAAAACTTACTTAGCTTTTATTGTGAATTTGTAAGAATAATATTGGATAATTAAAATGGTAAAACTATTAATAAATACTGTAGTGAGTTTGTGTAGTTAAAAGATTGTGCTCTCATTCATCACCGAACACCAGCAAGCAAGAAAAGCCAACTGAGAGACATTGGGAAATCAGACCTCAGTGTGCCTGCTGGTTAAGGAATAACAGCAGGCATGGGCAATATCTTCACCCCTTATACTGTGTCATTCATGTACTTTAAATTAAATTTCTTTATCTATCAATGTTAAGTTATGAAAGTACTGTACTTATCCTCTACAGCAATTATATAAAAATTTTGTTTATGTAGGGACAACCAGATGCTTATTCATCTGAAGATTATGTAACACTGCATTATGTATTGTATATCATTTAACAGTACTGTACTGTATAAGATTAATGACTAGTATAAACTATGAAATGAAGTAAGTTTATCTACGTTAGATTTTACTGCTATAATGTACTATGAACAGATATGCATTACGTATATTTTTACCTAAAATGGTGAGGATCACATTATGAATAAAGTAATAATTATATCTACATAGATACCTCACTCATACTATATTCAGGTATAAGAGGATACTGAACACATTACTACTTGGGATTCTAGTATTTTTCCAGTAGACGGCTGATACTCATTGTGTTCCATTATCGTTTGGTTAATGGGTTACTTGAACTCTGGGTTATTTCATGTTTTAGAGAATATTAAAGTCATTTCCAAGAGTAATGGTTAAATGGCAAAATATACTTGGTGACAAGGTGCTTATAACCATTACCTTGTGATATTGCTTTTGTGCATTATCATACACAAACTCATTACAGTATTTGTTAATAGTTTTATTAAATTAATGCTCCAATATTATTCTAACAAGTTCACAATGAAAGTAAAGGGAGTTTTGACTGATTCATTAATGTAAATTTATTAGCCTCGTAATGTTTACTATAAGAAAGTTGCTTGATGCCTCCACACACTACAGTAGTCTGTGCTGAAACTTGCTTCTGTGACTGTACTGTATAGAATTTTTTTTTCAGATATGAACATTACTGTAATCCTATCTTTGATATCTTTTGTTATACTGTATATCATTATACATTACTATATATTTTTATATTTTGTACAAGACAGTATATATACTGTAATACTCAGGTTGATGTAATAATATAAGCTTATTAAAAAATATCATATGAGTGATCTTTTTGTGACAACTTAATTTTTTGTTGTAAGTATGGTAGATTATCTTTTTTTTTCAGCCTTAGAAAAAGTAAAACTTGTAATTGCACTTCTCACACCAGTCATTACCAGCAACCCTTTTGAATGATGTATAAAATAATTATACCTGTATCAGACAATAGACTGTTTCTCCACCACTTGTGCCACACTTTAATTCTTAAATCTCAATTTAACACCATGTACTGAACTACCATATTTTATGCCATAAAACTCACCTTTTTTTGTCTGCAAAAGGTTAATAAAAAAAAATCAGCCTGTTCCTATTTGTGAAATTGCAGTCTCCTGTGGGCTAAAGAATCCCCCAGTTGCTGTCTCCTGTAGGCTAAATTCTACCAACCCCAACTCCAGAATTACAAATGTTATTGCTTACTTAAACACAGTATTATTACTTTTAATTAATTAATTAAAAAATAATTACAGTATTGTAAACATAAAAGCTACAGTTACTGTTTAACTACTGTACTGTGCTGATGATAACCCAAGACAATAATAAAGGTACCCAACTCTTCAAAGCAAAGCAATAACCATTTCTGAACTTTTATCATACCTGCAACATTTATCTTTCAATCCACATTTGCATACCCGGTATGTTAACATCGCTGGCGGCACTGTATCCAAGTTAGACTCATGACTGTAACCACCAGGCTACCAGGCCGAGCTGACCTGTTATGGTTATTTTTCAACTTATAATTTAGGGTAGATACAGGTATTGACCATTATATGATGGGGTTAGGGACCTCAAAAAACCATCATTAAGTGATCGATCGTAAATCAATATTAATTACTGGGGAAAAATACCCCTGTAGTTTCTTTTCCCGAGACCCTGAAGAGCCCAGAAAGGTTTTATATCCTGCTGCTATAATGATTGAATAATGTCTAAATGCATTTAACTTATAAATAGATATAAAAACCATAAATTTATATCAAATGAAGACAAAAACAATAAATATATACAAAGTAAAGATTTATTTTCGTTTACCTTACATGATATGCTGGCCTGACGACCCGGCAAGCAGCAGGATTTCACCTGTTGTGAGAAATGGACAACAGTTTGGCGGCGAGCTTTGCTGGCTGGATCAGTGCCCAAATAAGCTTCATATTAGGTGTTGGATATTCAAGTAAAAATTGAAATGAATCATGAAAATAATAATTTAAAATACAGTATAACGCATCAAACTGTGACAGGTTTCTATTTATTTGTCACTTTATAACTTGTTTAGTATGTATTATTAAATCATTATTCCGGGTCTTCTTTTACCAGCCAGCCACCGCCAATTGTAAACAAACCTCACAATGCACCCATGGTCTTTTCTTTAACTTTTGCAGATGCCTCGCTTGTTTGTGCAGTTGAAGAACTATAGCACAATCCTGCAAGGCCTCAACTGTAGTAACGGGATCCGTGGCAAACCTCGTCTAGATACTTGTTATTGTTTTCCTTGCATTGGGCAGATGCGCCAACAAAACATCCCAGTGTGATGAAAACGTCTCTTTGTTTTGCTGGCCAGACTATGTTGGGAGGAAAAGTGCCCAGTGTGCTGCTGTCTTAACACTCGCTCAGCTCACTCACAACACCTTAAACAACAAAGTTTATTTTGAGTTCTTTTTGCTTTTCTAAGAAATATTAAAAGATATATTTGATTAAAGATTTTGTCAATATTTAATTCTTCTTTAAGAAAACAAAAACATTAAAAATACATACTGGTTATACACTACGTGCACTGATTTTACACAACACATATTTAAAAAAAATTCTTAGACTATTTAACCTACAAACACTCATCTGGAGAAGGGGCATGAAGAATGAGGTGGTCTTCCTCTGCTTCTGGTTATGGATTGTATCTAGGAGTCATCTGTAGGTACAAGTGTGACTTGCCTTTGGTAAGCAGTACCCTTACATCTATATCCTTTCCACTTTAACCTAGCCCGTAAGTCACACCCCACGTCTATAGCTACAAATAGCTGATTGGTTCCCCTGAGTGTTTTACCTCACCCCGGATTGCGCATATTTTATATCGACCTTTTATGATAAATATTTAAAATTTTCTAATGTCCTCTCTGAAGTGCTAATGCTTTGAAATCAATTGTGTTTCGATAGTCCAGATATTTAACATTATTTTAGATAATAACATGTCTGCTTACCAATAATTGTGAACACATTTAGTTTGAATTTTCTATGAACCAATCAGCTATTAGTATAGAAGAGGGGCGTGACACATGGGCCAGGTTAGTGTGGAAATACTACAGTGAGATGCAGGGCAAACTTTCACTTGTGTGCAGCTGATTACTTGTAGATAGTTAATTACTTTTATTCTTTTTGTTACTGATCGGCTCGTTAGCTGCTTGAGGGGTCGATCATGTCTGTTATTTTTTTATTTTTTTTTTTTTTACGGGGATTAGCCCACCCGGGCACAGGTCACTG